GACATTCAACTAAAAAGAACTTTTATCATAAAAGGATCCTTTGTTTCATTGTTGGCTCTTATTTTCTCACATCGTCACATGGTCCAATGATTCAGAGGGCAGCGCATTTTCTTGTCATGCAGATTACTAATTATAATTAAATAAATCATTCCCTTAAAAAGTATTTTTTTGTTTGTTTTGTTTTCTAAGCTAACATATAAAGCATTGATTAGTGTAATTAAACACTGACCAATATCATTTAAGAGTGATTTTTTGCTAATGAAATCCTCAAATCTTTCTTTTATTGCCTAATAAGAGGATATAAAAGGATTTTTTAGAACAACATTGTTTTTCTTGGCCTACAAAATCGCCATGGCGACTGTAAAGTTGTCCAACAGACAGTCACAAAGCCTCAATAAGGAAAGTAAGATCAGAATAATCAAGCAGAAGACGTTCACCATCCATAAGAAGCTTTATCTGAGCAAATTAATGGAAAGTTAAGTGGAAGGAAAACAGGTTTTAAACAATTTTTTCCCCAACAGTCTTTGAGATTTCAAAATAAAGCTCACTGAAGATTTTTGTAAAGATGAACCATCTGTAGACAGGAGCTGATTTCTCTCTTTAAACCAAAAGAGTCAGAAGCATCTGGACTGTTATTCATTTATCTAAAGTCAGACTTTCAGATAAAAGTAAAGATTACATTTCATGAAGAGGCACAGAATCCATATCGTAGTTAAAGTTTCCTGTTGTGATCTGGGAAGGCATGCATGTCCACCATGTTTGCTCATGTCCAGAGTTAATGCAGTTATACACCAGGAAACTTTAGAGCCAGTTAGAGCTTCTTTTACTGAAGAGCTTTATGGAAATGCACACGATGCCAAGAGTACCGCTATCCTCTTAAATGATTCATCAACAAGCTCATCTAAGCCAAGCTCTGTAGAGAATCTATGAAATATATTTTTTAAGAGGCTGATGGGAGAATTACTGAGCTTCAGGCTGCCATTAAAGCTGCTCATCAGCAAAGGCCTGTACCTTCTTCCTATCGAACCCAGGGTCATATTTCTCTAATAAAATTCTTTATTTTATCAGCCTTATGCATTTCCACCTAGAATATACAGTCAATATCTGTAAATCCTAATCATGGAAAATAACAAAGAAAACTGACCGCTCTGCACTGCAAAAAATGATCTAAAAATGAGTAAAAATGTCTTAAATTAAGTGTATTTAACCGTAATTTGAGGAGGTAAATAAGTGAATAAGTATTTTTACTCATAAAATAAGATAATTAGATAATATGCACTTTAAATAACACAATGTTATTGTTTTTTCTTAATTTAAATGTAGATTATCTTGCTCCTTTGGCAAAGTGTCTCATTTACCTCCGTAATTCAAGAAAAAAATCACTATATATTAAGAAAAAAATGACTTATTGAGATAGATTTTTTTTGCAAAGTGTGTGTGGAATCGATCTGCACACCAGTTTCACTCATAAAGCTGAAAACATTACCTGGACTCTGGTTTTCTGACATAACTTCCATGATAATCCTCAGTGTTAAATATGCAAGGACCAGTCTGAGCCACCAGGCGACTCCCGCCTCCACTTTGGCCTTACAGTGGGTCAGCAGTGCAGTGTGCACACTTTCAGTGCATATTTTCACTCTCACACAACACGACTCACAAGGAAAACCTCACGCACACACTGATACCAATTGCAAAGAGTGCTTTGTGGATCGACTGACTGTCTGGGCAGCTACTGCAGAGAGAGAGAGAGAGAGAGAGAGAGAGATTGGTGGGTGGGGGCAGATGGAGGCAGCAAGAGAAGGAAATATTCCCAAAAGGAGCGGCCCAGGACAGATATAGGAGAAGGACTGTAGGGCCGGATCCTGCTCACACCTACCGGTAGTGTGAGCAGGACAGGAAAGGGAATACAGAACTAGGAAAGGAAGCAGGGAGAGAGAGAGAGTTGTTATTAAAGTGGCTGAGAGGAACTGATGGGATGGCATTGATCTCTGGGAGCTGCCGGCTCTTGGGCGAGATGGCGTCTTGTTGCTGCAGACCCTTCCTCAACTCGCCCTGCTGTCGACCACTCATCAAAGTCTGCCTCTCCTCCTTCACAGGTCGGTTCCCCGCCCCGCTCTCTGTGCTCTGCTGTCATGAGACGGACCGCCGCGCTCAGATAGGCAGGGACTTAGATCAATGTGCAACATGGGTAACGCACTTAGCCAAGAAGGTAAAAGAGGCGGCATGGAGTGATCCTGCGTTGTTACCAGCATAACTTTGGCGTGCGGCTGTCCTAACTCTGCTCTGATGGGAGGAATAATAGACTGTTGTCCTTCTTGGCGTAATGTCATGTTGCATATTGTGTTTGCACCCCATTGTCCTGTTATGAATGCTTTGCATTTGGATGATAATGTTCTATTGTTTTCCCCCCTTCTTTTTTGTTTTTTTTGCACTGACCAAGCATGTTTAAAGAAAAGCAGTCTAATAAAATAATCCTGAAAGAAGTTTTTGTTTGTGTTTGGAGATATAAAAGTGTGTGAGGAGCTGAAGTGTTTTCATTCAGTCTATGTGTACCAGGTCCTGTTTGCTCTGTACCCCTCTGACAAACCCTCAAACTAACCGCAGCTGAACAGAACCCCCCCTCTGGTGATGTTTAACACTTTATCCTTAAAACCTTTTTCATCAAGCAACCTCTGAAGAAATGCTGTAATGTTTGTTTGAATATCTTCCAAATAGGTTTCTATTCAGTGCAGCTAGAAGCTGCAGGTGATAATCTTCTAGAAGATCTACATAACTCCCTGAGTTAAGCTGGGCGTACGCTGTACCATGTTTTTCCCTTTTCAGGCAGATTCTCCATAACCTGACTCCGCCAGATGGATTTGCTCCGCATATCCATCTGGAAACCTTCCGTTGAAGTAATTTTGGGAAGGGGCGAAAATACTGGTT